TTCTTTCTTCCTAATTCTTCTCTTTCTTCAATCGGCAGAAGACCACGCAATCACCCCTCCCCTCAATTACTTTCCCTTTCCTTTTAATCTCCCACACGCACAAGCGCTAACCATTTTTTGCACACGCCAATTTTTGAACGCATAGTCCTCATGAATGTCGATGATTTGTTTGTGTACGAGAGTACTTTAAAACCAGATTTGGTTACTGCTTGGATGCCTCTTGTGCGAAAGAGGTTTCAATTAGGAAAAAAAATCAAGGTACGGGTGAGTTGCAGAGATTAGATGAAGTTCCATGGCTAGATCCAAATTTGTGTGGGAAAGGCTCAGATCTATCTATGATCACCGAAAGGCGGTGGCTCTCGGAATTCGAAACCTATAGCGGTAGAAGAGTTTTGGAGGTGAGCCTTCCGTACGACTTGGTATGACTGATTTTTTCGTGGCTTATTTTGGCCAGGTTATAATAATATTGCACAGTTTACTTATGGTTTATGGGTAGTTTATTTAAGTTTTAATGTTGCTAAGTTTACTTATGGTTTATGAGTAGTTTATTTCAGTTTACTTATTGTTTATGAGTAGTTTATTTCTGTTTACTTGTGGTTTATGAGTAGTTTATTGTACGCATATTTTATAATATAACATGTTTCAAATAATATCAGTAATTTGTCTATTTACTGTTTATGAATGGTTTATTTTTATTTATTTTAGAAGTGTCTATGACGTGATGGGGTTGAAGAAAGATTATTAAGTTGGATTATTGATATTTTATTTGGTGTTTAAAATTAGTCTTTCCTAATTTAGTTATTTTATTAAAGTTTATTTGAGGTATATAAGTACTTTTTTATTTTAATAACATTATTTTTCTAAATAAATAAAATAAAGCAAAAGGCCAGAAAGAGTAAAACAGATGAGGAAGATGAGGAAAATTTGAACACCTGTGCGCGCTACAAGAAAAGGAGCAGAGGGACGGAAGAAAGAGAGCATAACTTGAGGAAAGAAAAGACACACATATTGGAATAAAAAAAGTAAATTATTCGTTGGTGTGAGATTTGTTTAAATATCTCATCATTTTGGAATTATTTTATAAGAAGTGAATATATGTGTACTTTCGCCAAATAATTTTTTATTATTGGTTGAGTTGGATTGGGTTGGGGATAAATATAGTCTGACAGTCCTCTAACAATTAGAAAATGCCATTGTCCAAATTGCTAAGGCCGCTGTACAAAGTGGTTAAGCTTCCTACAACTGAGGCCTCATCACCATAGTGTTTGTTCAAGACTGGGACGATAGTCCCCAATGGCAACGTGAGGAAGCTCAACAAAACATCTGCGAAATCGCTATCGGCCTCCACGTAAAGGACCTTAGTCTTTTGCTTGTTTATAATGGCTTTCAAGGTGAACTTGAAATCTTTGGGGTTAGACATTCTGAATGCAGGTTAGTGTACATTCTGAATGCAGGTTAGTGTACAATCTTTGGGGTTAGACCTTCCATACCATATCCTTCTAATGCACCTAGACTGAATTCCTTTGTTTTTGCCATTTATTGTATGGACCAATGCACATTATAATGTCAAGATGAAAATATTATATAAAAGAATAGTTAATTTATAATTCATTGAACTATTTTTTAAATATTTAAGACAGCCTTGATTTTCCATATAGCTTAATATTTTAATAATCAACAATCATTGAAAAATTGATTGAATTCATTTTTGAAATTGTAACACAAAATGTTTGTTTATTTTTATTTATTTATAGCTTTTAATCAATACCATTAAAGATTATGTTTGTAATTACATTTATATAATTCATTACATATGTGTTTCCTCTTTTATTAAACTAATGGAAAATTTTGAATTTTAAGCATGAATTATGAGAATAATTTTACTTTTAAATCATAAAAATTATTAATAATCACCTGCGTTGCACGTGCAACTTCCTCGTCGATTGAAAAGTATGACATTTTATTTTACAATATAAATATACTATTTGAAAACTATGTATCGATCCGCCTAATCGTTGTCTGACTCACATAAGAATTCGTATTGAAACTTGAAAATGCACAGCGAACTAACCATTGACCGTGCCTAATATCAGTCTTTAACGAGTACTTCAGGTTGAGAACACAAAATATCGGTAGCTAAATACACTGAAACTCAAGGTTAGTTCAACTTTCGTTGGGAAATGGAAGGTCAGGGAGTAATACATAAAGACTCAGGAATGTTGTGGGACAGACTCTTGGACAACCCTTTTTGCCATATAAATAGTCCTTCATGCATTGAAATCTTCATGCTCACGACCTTGATACAAAAAGCTCAATCCTCTGTGACACCCCAAATTAAGATACAACAATGTCTGCCCCTAAGGATGTTCAGTTTACTTTGAGAGTCATGATAAATAAAGATAAAACCAAGGTTCTCTTTGCAGAGGCGGACAGTGATTTTACCGATGTTTTGTTGAGCTTCCTGGCATTGCCATTGGGAAAGATCGCGAAAATCGTCGTGGAACACTACGGAGACACCACACCGGTAGTCGGGAGCTTGACCTCTTTGTACAATGGCCTTGCTGATCTTAATGTTGTCCATTTTCATACAGAGACAGGCAAACAAATGCTGCTAAACCCGAGAAGCGTGCTTGATAAAGAATACCATAAGCTGAAGCTGAATCTTGGTAATCCCGAGCCCACCAAGTACTTTACATGCGGACAGTTGTCCGGTAAGCAGCACAATTTCAGCATGTACTATGATACCGCTAGATGTGATTGTGGGAATACAATCAGCACTGAAACAAAATTTATATCATCTGAGGCTGCTGAAGATGGCGATGATCGAGCTTTTTGCACAAAAGGTGCTTCATTTATAATCGGTGATGATATGCGGGTGGCGCCTAATGTAGCGGGGTCGGTGTTGAGAATTCTTGCGGAACTTGGTATTAGGGACATCAAAGGGGCTGAGATGAGGAACGTGATTTTCGGATATAATGATGTGAGTCTATTGTATTCAACTTTCTGAAATTATGTGTTTTCAACACACAAGATGAGACTTTACCACCGTGGAGCAGCTAACGGAAAAGGCATAATAAGCAAGTCAGCGAAAAAAGCCAAGCATTGATATTGAGCCAGTTGTTTGGCAGTCTTACCTATAGAAGTGGAAGTACAGTCGTTACGGGTGGTTCTGGAGTCTGAAATCTCTGAAGCTGAGTGGGTCAAAGACAGGTATGAACAGCTGGCCTTAATTAATCGAAGAGAAGATAATGAGGGCGCTGTATCACATGCAGCTGTATCAAAAGAGAGTGGCCAAGACCTTCAATAAGCACGTGAAGCCAAAGCAGTTTAAGGAAGGAAACCTAGTGCTGAAGGAAGCTAGGCTGACCGATACATAAAATCTTGATTAGGATCCGTCCCGGGTAGCTACTTCGGCAGCTGGATTAGCTCTATCTATTAGTGAGACTTTACACTACACACCTTCCCAATCTCGGAAATGAAGTCGAAAGTACCAACGAATCCATTGAGAAAATTGGCGTTTATTTATTAGTCAGCTCAGAAAGAACTAGGAGAGAAGACGATCATCCGTTCTAATTTAATCGACTATTTGTCTTTCACATACCCGAGGTACGAGCTGGTCAGGAGATGAAGAAAATGATATAACGACTGTAGCCTACCTAGAGCTCTGATCCTTAGCTGTCTGATATGGATATGAGGAAAGTCAACAACCTCCGGGGTCCGATTTCCTTGTCTTAGTCATGGACATTTTACGAGATCCTGGACTCTCGACTGCTAACTCGTCCGCCCCTTACTGAAACACTTGCCAAACGCTCTGGGGAAACTGCCCGAAATGACGGACCTTTCACTAACCAGCATCCATAAATCAGGAAGCTGCAGTGAAGGAACAGGCCCCAGGCTCGATATAATTGACCTTCCTTTGACCCAGCTAAGATGAGTATCTTGACGATATCGAGCCGGAACAACCTGTTCTTCCTGAATATCCCGATTCAACGCCAAACTGTATAGGAACAATAATCCATTTTTGCTCGAATGGTTTGTAGGGGAACTCTCCCCTCTCTGATCCACACGACGCGTGCAATTTCTTTTCCGCCAATACGCCCTGAAATTTGTATTTTAATTCCTTTTGTATCCGCTAATTCAATAGCCTTTTTCATCGCTTTTCGAGCTGAAACTCTATCTATGGCAAAATGATTTCCCTACCGATGTTTCACGTAATGAGACCCGACAAATGAAGTAGGGGAAGACTGGAATATTAAACAAATAACTACTACAAGTGCAGTTACAACCAAATGGCTAAGAAATTTGAGGGACCGATTAATGTTTGTTAATGTTGTCTTTGTTCTTTGAACTAGATTATAAATTTGCTGAGAGGCATGTTCGTGTCACGGACTCCTTTGACCGATGTCATAATCGGCAAAGCTCAAAGTAACTCTGAGGTTTTCATACCAAACAGAGTAGGCAAAGCTCAAAGGAACACTGGAGGTTTCATGCCTAAGACAAAGGAAGCAACTGTTTCCAACTCTGAGAAGATGATGATATTGAAAATCATGATACAAAAATCTACACAAAAGCTATTGTTTGCGCAAGCAGAGGATGATTTTGCCGATTTTCTCTTTAGTTTGCTCACGATCCCACTCGGTGGAGCTTTGTCACTTTTGGGGACCAACACTGGTGTTACAAGTTTGGACAATTTTTATGTGAGTGTGGAAAGTATTAATGGTGATAAGTACTTAACTAAAGACAGGACCAAATTTCGAAAAACCGAACTCCCTATTGGATATATGTCCTCAAACCAAATTCTCCCTCTAACTGAAGGAGGATCTCCTGAACTCCATTTTGTTAGAGCTTCCGAATATCTTGGCAGGTATTTGTCTCCCTCAACCGTGACATATAAAAAAACACGAACTCTGTCCATTTTGCTTCATCACAAGTCTCCAAAAGTGTGTGGGAATTATGTAAAGGGTCCAACAATGTATATGGTCACGGATGATTTAACCGTGACTCCATTGTGTGTGACCTCAAGCCTTTCTATATTGGACCGTCTGGGAATCTCCTTGTCTGATGTCCAAGAACTGGAGCTTAACATTGGATTGGAAGAGGTAACTATGACAAGACATTATATGGCATGTTCATTTCGACTATTCGATTTGTTTTATGATTAGAGTTTTTTCTTGTCCTTTTTTCTTTTTCTTTTTTTTTTATTCAGTTACTTAGATTTTGTTCTTATCTCTACTGTAGGCTCTGAGCATTATGAAGGCATCTCTTACCTCTACTTCGGCCCTGACCAATGGCCTTTTCGTTCCTTCACAAAAACAGCGTGTGAAACAAGAACACTGAGGCCAATGCCCGAGGTTCCTGCATTAGTGTTTTTTTCCTGATGATTGTTGTTCCTAATCAGTACTACAGTTCTGGTGATCCATGTTTTTCCTCTTAATTAAGTATGTTTGGTGTGATTTGGTTTATATAATTGTGACAAAATAAATCAATTTTGGTCCACTAAGATGGCTCTATTCAAAATTTAGTTTGAACTTCTAATTCTTTATATTCAACTTCTTATTCTTTATATTGCTCAAAAATAGTTCTTGAGTAATAGTACAGTTCGACTGATTTGGTTCACAGTGCAGTACATCAATGATGCCAAAATATTTATATGTAGGGACATAAGTTCCTTTCTCCAGCATAAACTACAGCAAATTAAAATGCAAATGCAAAATGAACCTTGTTCATGCATACAACTCAATGCTTTATTTAATAATGTATGCAAAAATCATATCTACAACTATTATATGTTTAAAAAATATATCGAAACAGGAAAATTTGTCGCTTCGGTTTTAAAGATTTCAAGTTCCCCTTAAAGTTAAAGTTCCCCTAAGACTGAACTGGGGCTTCGACAGCTATTGATAATGCTACTGGCTTGAATCAGAAATGACAAACACATAGAATAAAACGATGAATTTTGAAGCTGATTAAAAATGTAGAATTCAGATTGTAAAAAGTTTCTTCTCAGAGCTCTAACATTATACTGTATTATGTGAGCACATACAAGGTCAGTCGTGTTGCTAGGCCGAGCTAATGGGCCTCGATGCTAGGTCGAGCTGTTGCTAGTCTGAGCTATCTCTATTCTTACTATAGCCCTTACCGGTCCATGAATTAAGCTTCTTTCTGTGTGGTTTGCCGAGCTATTCTCTTATGCTATATCAAGTCGAGCCTAATAATATTTAGCACAGAACTGAATCAAAAGCGATGTCTAGGAATCAAGATGTTGATTATAATGACGATGATTGCGAATGACTTCATATCACCTGAAGTCACAAACAGGCACCACAAATTGGAATTTCATCCAACTCCTCTGTACTCCCCTATTTCCACTGTAAATAAATTAAAATTCCCACAAAATTCAAACCTCCACGCTCTAAACTCATCCCCACATTTAATAACAACAAATGATATATAAAGGTTTGGTATGCCATATTGTACAGAAAAAATGAATATATATTTACAAACACAAATTCTGATGTAATGATCTTTCGTTATGTATACTTCTTTATAAAAATGCATGCATATGTTATGAAGTGTCATAGTTTCTTTATGCTATCCTTTAAAATATATCATTTTAGCATAAAATTAGACATATCTATTGAAAAGTATGGCATTTCACAATATAAATGCACCATTTCGAAAATTATGTCAGGTCGATCAGTTTAGTCGTGGACCGAGTCACATGAGAATTTGTATTGAAACTTGAAAATGTACAATGGACTTGTGACTGACTAATAGCAGTCTTTAATGACTATTTCAGGTTGAAATTAAGACACAAAACATTGGGAGCTAAATACACTGAAACTCAAGATTAGTTCAACTTTCCTTGGGAAATGGATGGTCAATGTAATACATAAAGACTCAGGAATGTCGCAGGACAGACTATTGGACAACCCTTTTTGCCATATAAATAGCCTTCATGCATTGATATCTTAATGCTCACATTACCCTGAGATAAAAGCTCAATACTCTTTTACACCCGAATGTCTGATCCTAAGGATGTCCAGTTTACTTTGAGAGTCATGATAAATAGAGATAAAACTAAGGTCCTCTTTGCAGAGGGCAGCAGCGAATTTTTCGACGTTTTGTTGAGCTTCCTGACATTGCCATTGGGAAAGATTGCGAAAATCCTCGTGGAACACTATGGAGGCGACACACCGGTATTCGGGAGCATGACCTCTTTGTACAATGGCCTTACTGAGTTGGATGTTCTTCATTTTCATACAAGGGCTGGTAAACATATGCTGCTAAACCCGAGAAGCGTGTTTGGTAAGGAATGCCGTAAGCTGAAGCTGAATCTTTGTTATTCCGAGCCCACCAAGTACTTTACATGCGGACAGTCGTCGAGAGGGGAGCACAATTTCAGCATGTACTATAATACTGTTAGATGTGATTGTGGGAAAATTATGAGAAATGAAACGGAATTTAAATCATCTAAGGCTGCTAAACATGGCGATAATCAAGCTTTTTGCAGGAAAGGTGCTTCCTTTATAATCACTGATGATATGAGAGTGGTGCCTAATGTGGCAGGCTCAGTCTTAAGGACTCTAGCGAAACTTGGTATTAGGGACACCAAAGGGGCCGAGATGAGGAATGTGACATTTGGATATAATGAGGTGAGTCTATTGTACAAATCATTATACAATTTTCTAATGCATTCAACTTTATATTATGTATGTTTTATATTATGTATCTGCTAAATCCATTACTTGGATTTCAACAAATAACTAAAAGTGCATTTTACTAATTACAATCGAGGGGCCAAGAAATTTGAGGAACCGATTGATTTTTGTTGCTGTTGTCTTTGTTCTTTGAAATAGATTATAGATTTGCTTCAAGGCATGCTCGTTTCACGGACTCCTTTGACCCATGTCATAATCGGCAAAGCTCAAAGTAACTCTGGAGTTTTCATACCAAAGACAGAGGAAGCAACTGATTCCAACTCTGAGAAGACGATGATATTGAAAGTCATGGTACAAAAATCTACACAAAAGTTATTGTTTGCGCAAGCAGAGGATGATTTTGCCGATTTTCTCTTTAGTTTGCTCACGATCCCACTCGGTGGAGCTTTGTCACTTCTGGGGGCCAACACTGGTGTTACAAGTTTAGACAATTTCTACACTAGTGTACAAAATATTAATGGTGATAAGTACTTGATTAAAGATACAAAGACCAAATTACGGAAAACCAAATTACCTATGGGATATATGTCTCCAAACCACCTTCTCCCTCTAACCGAAGGAGGATCTCCTGAACTTCGTTATGTTGGAGCGTATCAGTTTCATGGCGAAAGACATAGTGCATATTTGTGTCCTTCAACCGTGACAAATATAGAGGGTTATTCAGCTATCAATTTGCTTTATATGAAGTCTCCAAAAGGCAATGGGAATTACGTGAAGGGGACAACAATGTATATGGTGACAGATGATTTAACCGTGACTCCATTGTGTGTCACCTTAAGCCTTTCTGTTTTGGACCGACTGGGAATCCCGTTGTCTGATGTGGGAGAATTGGAGTTTAACATTGGACTGGAAGAGGTAACTATGTCAAGACCTTATATCGAGTGTTCATTTGGATTATTTGATTTTTATTTTTTTTGTATGTACTGTAGGCTCTGAGCATTTTGAAGGCATCTCTTACCTCGACTTCGGCCCTGACCAATGCCCTTTTTAGTCCATCATCAAAAAAGCAACCACCGAAAAAGCGTGTTAAAAAAGAACACTGAGGCCAATGCCGAAGGTTCTGGCATTAGTGTTTTCCTGATGATTGTTGTTCCTAATAAGTACTACATTTCTGTTGATCTATGTCTTCTCCTCATAATTAAGTATGTTTGGATTGGTTTATAAAATTGCCACTAAGATGGCTCAATTCAAAATTTAGTTTGATGAAATTTCAATTTTTGTAAAGATTTTTAATCAGACTTTTAACAGTTCAAATTTTGTATATATTCTGTTTCTTATT